CTCTCTCTCTCTCTCTCACACACACACACACACACACTCACACACACAAACACACATATGATACTAGTTTTGTATTTATAAAATAAATTTATATAAAGTGAGCCATATCCAAAAATATTGGGCAATATTTTAAAATATGATTCAAAGAGCATATGGAAATGGCTAAATCTGTTGAGATCTCCCTAGTGTCTGATGCTTAGAAAATTCTGCTTTAGCCGGGCAGTGCTGGCACACACCTTTAATCCTACACTTGGGAGGCAAAGACAGGCGGATCTCTGTGAGTTCAAAGCCAGCCTGGTCTAGAGTGAGCTCCAGGACAGAAAGGGATATCTGTCTCAAAAAAAAACAAGCAGAAAAGAAAAAAGAAAAAAAGAAGAATTAAATTCTGCTTTAAAGTCTAGTTATCACATACGTGGATTAAAAATCTGTTAATTTGGGGCTGGAGAGATGGCTCAGAGGTTAAGAGCACTGCCTGCTCTTCCAAAGGTCCTGAGTTCAATTCCCAGCAACCACATGGTGGCTCACAACCATCTGTAATGAGATCTGGAGCCCTCTTCTGGCCTGCGGGCATACACACAGACAGAATACTGTATACATAATAAATAATAAATATTTTTAAAAAATCTGTTAATTCAGAAGCTTAGATAGTAAACTCAAGGGAGGAGGAACACTCCTCCCTCAGACCTCTCAGAGACAAGAATATCAGCAGCTTTTCCGGTTAACCATCCCACCTCGCTCTACCTCGCTCATTTTCTTCCTAAACAAACTGCAGGCCAAGGATGGCGGCACGACCCTGCTCACAGACAAAGTCTGGAATCCTGATTCAGATTCTCCAACAGGAAGGGGTAAAGAAGCCGGTCTCCACAACTAACGTACCGAGGTCAAGCAATCACAGGAAGGATGAGTCCAAACTGCCATCCACTATTGAAAACCTAGCAGGTACTGCATCGAAGCCCAAGGGCTTGACTCCAAGTGCAGCACTGCCCACCGGGTTCCCTCCCAGCAGCTGCCCCTGGAAAGGCTGCTCCTCTCCCTGCAGTAGGGCAATGAGGCCAGACGCTGCTGCAGAGGACATCACTAGTGGGCTTACAAAAACGGCTGGGGAAGTGCAACTTTTCTGGGTTAGGAATTCGGGGGTTATTTGTGTTGTCACCTTATTCATCCTTACAACCCAGCCAATCTGCAACCAGCTCATCTGAAGACAGGGCTCAAACTAGTGGCACATCTGTGGCTCACACTGATTTTCCTGGACCGCTCTTGTTTCCGTTTCTCTATGTGACATTACACACACATAACTTCAGTTCCTACTGATGTCTAACATCCTCTCTCCCCTTGGTTTTTCACCCCCCGCCCCGTGAAGTGCAATCCCATGCTCCCCATACCCATAGCCACCTATCTACTCTACCCTGCATTCAGAACCTAAGCACCTCCAAAGTCAGACTGTCCTTACTCACAGCTTCACCCGCCACACTCCCCAATCCTGCAAACAATAAATATTTGAATCATGTGAACGGCATTGCTCCAACCTTTTGCATCAAAGCTTGAGTTGAGTTCCTGGCACTACTTCAATCCTCTTCTGCTCAAGTTTGGGTCCTTCATCTCCCAAAACGTGCAGCTTCTTAAACCAAGCAGTCTGACCGTTCTCTATGCTCACCTTACTTGAACAGCACCTGAATGAGTTGCTGACACCCTTCTCAGACAATTTTTATTTAGAAATGAGTATTAGACTTTTCGGCTCTGAGAAAGCATCTCTGGTGCTTCCTATTTCAAATGTCTGAATACCTCAGAGCCAACAACTCTTTCCTCTTCTGGAGCAACTTGGTTCCTGCTCAGGTTGTGGATCCCTAAACAACAGCGTTGGCACCGGTATGCCTTGCTGGAAATCTGCTGAAGCAGACTGCAGTGTGACAAACGGAGATGATACAGACACTCGAGAAACACTAACTCAATCATACCGACTCTCCAAATGCTTATCCTGCCTCCTTCTGAAATGTATCATACGCAGGACTCCATGCTGAGCTGCCCCAAGACCTCTCTCTTCCAGAACCACTTGGTTGCTATTGCAAATGTGAAGGACCCTCTACCCCCTCCCAGCCTTCAGACCGAGAATTGCTTCCTAATCCCTTGGCCAAAATCTCACCAGCTGTGCCTTTTAAAACAGAACTCTGGGGAGATGGCTCAGTGGTTAAGAACACTTGTTGTCTTCCAGGGGACCAGAGTTCAGTTCTCAGCACCCGTGAGGCAGCTCACAGTCTAGAACCCCAGCTCTGGGGACTGGATGCCCTCTTCTAGCCTCTCTGAGCACTGCACACACTTGCTCCATAAACACACAGAAGAGCAAAAAGCATCTATACACATGAAAATCAATAATCTTAAAACATTCTAAGCTAGAGATACACCATTCTGACAGTCTCTACAGCTAAGCATACAAACCTGAACTGCCATCTGGGAGGGAAATACTTCTGAGCTTCTAACCCCACTTCCATAGGGGCCTACAGATGCTATGCACAATAGCCAGACTGGTCTTTAAACACAAATCAGGCTGTGGCTCAAGGTCTTTCAATGCCTTCTCAGCGGCCTGCCAGGATTTCCAAAACCTTCATTTTCTAGCTCTTTCCTCAAGCTTATCCTACTGCCCCCAAAGACGTGTGGCCTCCTTTGTCTGTTTTGAGGTCTGCCGGCTTCCATAGAGGCCCTCCCTAACTCACTGCACTGGATACGCACCCCTTCTTTTCTCCATGTTTATTGTGCCTCACTTCCACTTAACCACTGAAGTAGTTACCTGGTGTTTCAGATCAGGTAACTGGTCCTTCCACTAGGATGTATGGTTCCCTGGAGGGAGTTTTTCTTTGCCTGTCCCAACAGGGTAAAGCTGCCCCCAGTACAGACAGACAGCGCTCAACTGGTGGTGGTAGATTTGGAGCTACAAGACCTGAATGCTAACAATCTTCCAGGAGTTCTCAGTAGGCTGAAAATGTCAAAATGGGGCAGTGTTTTAAAATCTTTTCTATTCGTTAGCATGGGGACCTTTAAAAAAAACTGAATACTTAAAAAGTCACATTCCAAAGGAATTCTATATTGCAATTGCTGTGGTTGGGACTCAAGTACCAATGCTTTCAAACTTACTAAGATAATTCCAACGTGAGATAAGTTTGGGAATCTCTTCCACACAGTATGAGCTGGTAACAGTGATATGAAAGCATAAGAGATAAATACTTAACAAAGAAATCCCAACCATACTGCTATGCGAATTTATGACTTCTATTCCCCACATGGCATAGAAAACAAAAGTTAATTCATAAAACATGTTTTAAACAGTCGATCTGAAAGACAAGACATTCCAGGTACATCTACCTGTCAAAGCCCAAAGCAAATTTGGATGCCTCTATTAAAACGTTGTGGGGTTTGTTTTTTCTTCTCCCATAAGCTGAGGCAAATTTATGAATTAAAGAGTGGTGAGTTCTCCACAGTCATACCTCAAGACTTTGGAGAGACTTGCTTACATGATTTTGTGACTATATACTCAAGAGGGAAACAGGTTTCTTTACAACTCAACAAAGTTAAAAGTAAATTCTTTATCATTCTGCTCAATATTTCTTGCTTAAGAAGTAAGACAGTCAACTGGCAATAGTCACCAAGCAACATAGCCTTGGGACAGAAATAAAATAATGTTCCTTTACCACCTCCAATCTTAAACTGTCTTCATGCCTCAGGGTGGAGGGCATTAATGAAGGGAAAAGCAAGCGACTGCATTATTAAAATCTTTCCCCACAGTACAATACTATGATTTCAAATGAGCCTTGGAGACATTCAAGCCAACTCATTTTACAGGTGAATGACCAGACGCTCAGATACGGTGAAATGGCGTGTCTACAAGTCACACGGAGAGCTTGAAGAGAAAAAAAACAAATTTTTTTCCAAACAAGCAGACAGGATTTTTCACATGTGTTAATCAAAAAGAACCAAGACCATCATATTAGGAAGAAATGGTGGGTAAGAAGCACACTACACGTGGGGTTAAAGAACTAGTCCATCTGCTGCCCCCCACAATCAAAAACTGCTCAATGCAAGGACATATATCCATCAAAAGGAAAATATCAAAATCCCGGAAAGTTCAATTTACAAACACATTATGAATTGTATTGTTATAATGAAATTACTTCAATAAACATGAAAACATCAAACAGCACCAATAGCAGAGGTTAAGGTAAATATATTATTATTAAAAATAATGTGTAATTACTCATTGGGATAGAAATAAATTCTAGCCCCCAGCGAAACTATTTAAAATAACTGTTTGACAGAAAAGGCAATGTTTAAAGACTCATATATGCCCTCTTCCCACTGACAGGTCTTGGCTACACATCCCAGCAGTGGGTCACATGGAAAATATCAAGACACATCTTCAAATTGTTCAGCCTTGAACCATGATACCATGCCAGTATGAGCCAATGGCAGAGTTTTGGTATTCTAACTAGTCTTACCTGTCCCAATCAAAACAAAACAAGCCCCTTATTAAGCACTAGCTGAAGTGCATCTGTTCTGAAACAGTAGGGCATTTATGGATGCTACAACTGACAGTTATCAAAGGCTCCCAAGGAAACCAGCAGCAAATACTTCAGGAGTGCATTACTCCACTTGGAACCATGTAACTTCTCCCTAGTTCCCGGGATTTCTGGAGGACTAGAGATTTAAAGGCGTATAGATACACGGGGCCAATAAGAACCTCTAAACAGGATAGTGTTGCTATTTGAAATCACCAAGGTAACTTGACACAGAGAAATCCAACATTACATAAAATTTTGAAGCACACCGAACTGAGATGTTAGCAAACGTTTGTGTTTACCCCAAAACCAGCATGGAAATTTGAGGTGAAAATGAAATGGGCGTGGTTTGGGAAGCCACTTGAAGCTTGCTCCTTCCACTCTCTCCTTTCCTGCTCTCAGGCCTACCTGGCTTAAAGTATTTGGTAATTTAGTGCAGAAAATTAAGGTCACAGACAAAGTACAAGAACTTTTAATACACCATTAATACTAATGATTAAAAATTATTGCATAGTCTTATGCATTTACCCTAAAACATTTTCTGAAAGTAAACCAATTATATAAAAGACAAACAACCCTTTTAAAACATGGCTGCCTTCACTACCTCGCTCTTCTCTCCTTTTTTGTCTTTTCAGTACTTTTGTCCATTGTTTTTTCATTGTCTCCCCTGCACTTTGGGCAGTACCATTTCCCCTTTGGTTTATAGGTGAGTGAAACACATGAGAAGTGGAACCATTCAATGGGACACTGTTCATTGTCACAGCCTATCATTTCCCCGTAAGACACTTGGTTACATAAGCAGTAGGTAGGTTCATTGGGATCTATTGCAAACTCAACAGGCGAGGCTTCCCTTTCCTGCTTGGCCTTGGAACGTTTCTTTTTCTTGGCGGATTTGGATTTCTTTTCTTTCGGTGGCTGATCATCACAGTCTTCAACCCCATTTGTCATGTGACATAAGTCACGGCTCTCACTTGTTCGCTGTCTTCGAGGTCTTCTGGAAGACCGCTCAGGTTGACTAGAATCCATCTTTCCTTTGTCTGAGGCCCGTTCACTTTCAGAAGGATCTTGGAAACACTGTGAGTGCAGCTCCATTTGTCTTGCCCGATTTTCCACCAATTCGAGCATTTGTGTGACAATCTGAATTTTTTCATCCCCCAACTCCTGGCTGTTAATCAGCGCTCTCTGCAGATGCTGCTGTAGGCGCTTTTTCTGGTTTGAATCATCTTCTTTCTTATATTTTTCATAGACATCATCAATTTCCTTTAAAGTTTCTAAAAAAGGGGAAAAGGAGAATATTATGGCATATTAGCACACACATCATTTTCAAGATAGAATTAAAGCAGAAACCACACTTGACAGCATATACACATTAAAAACATTACTCTCAAACAAATTCGCCTCATCTAATATGAAAGTGTACGCAGCAACAAACGGCTCAACAGGCAAAGGAGCTTGCGATCAAGTCTGACAAGCTCAGTTTGGGTTGGTTGGTCATTCATTCATTCATTCATTCACTTATTCATCCGCTCACTTATTTATTTATGCATGTATGTATGTGTGTTGGTGTTTTACCTGCATGCATGTGTGTATGAGGGTGTCATGTGAGCTGCAAGTGGGTAATGGGAATTGAACCCAGGAAGGACAGCCAGTGCTCTTAACCACTGAACCACCTCTGCAAGCCCCAACAACCTCAGTTTGATCCTTGGGTCACGATATTGTAGAAGCACAGAACTGACCCCTGCAAACTGTCCTGACCCCCACATATGCATCCATGTGCTCTCCCACACAAAATAAATATAAGTTGTTTTTTTCCTTTCTGCTGTTTCTCTTCTTTTCAGACAGGGTTTCTCTGTAACTTTGGTGACTGTTCTGGAACTAGTTCTTATACACCAGGCTGGCCTAGAACTCAGAGATCCGCCTGCCTCTGCCTCCCGAGTGCTGGGATTTAAAGGTGTGCACCACCACTCGGCTAAATAAAAGTAATTTTAAAAACTTTTAAAGATTGTTCTGGTTAATTTACTAACTTGACAGAAGCTAGAGTTATTGAGGAAGAGATTTCTCAATTGAGAAATGCCTCAATAAGATCAACCTTTGGGCATTTTCTTGAATTACGATTGATATACAGAGAGCCCAGCTCACTGTGGACACTTTCAACGCTGGGCAGGTATCCTGAGCTGCATAAGAAAGCAGGCTGAGTGAGCCATGAGGAGCAAGGCAGTAGGTCGCGTGGCTTATGCTCTAGTTCCTGCTCCAGGTTCCGGGCTCGAGTTCCTGTCCTGACTTTCCCTAGACAGGGACTGTGACCCAAAAGTTGTCCACTTTTCTCTGCAAGTTGCTTTTGGTGACAGTGCTTTACCACAGCAACAGAAACCCAAGGTAAACTAACGAGAAGAACATAAACATTTAATATTACTTATCTGTATTAAGAAAGGTAAGGGGGAATAGGGAAACAGCCAGTCTGGGAAGTGCTTGCCACATAATCATGAGGACCTAAGTGATCCCTAGCACCACATAAAAGGCCGGTGTGGCTGTGTGCCTGTAACCTCAGTGCCAGGGATGCAGACAGCCTCCCTGGGGTTTGCTGCTCAGAGGCATCTAGCTAAATCAGCAAGCTCAAGTGAGAGACCCTGTCTCAAAAAACAAGGTGAAAAACAATAAAGGAAGATGTGAAACCTTCACAGCACACACACACACACACACACACACACACACACACAGGCATGTAGTAAATTAATAGTCAAAAGTATTATGTAAGTAAGACCTACATGCTAATTTAGAATTTGCTGAGTTCCTTATTGCCTATTCTTTATCTGAGCATCAAATCAACTCTATATACAAAATTTACACGCCGAACTCCAGCCATAAAATTTGAGGTGGTTCTGGGTCTCGGCCACAGATTATTACCCACCTGCATGTCTGTAGGATTTACAGCTCAATCAGTGATTTGTTACATGACTCCAGAGAGACAATTACCGTAATTCTCACATCCTACCCCTGGACACTTTCAAAGGCAGGCATCAGCATCTTTTAGCTTCCTGTCATTTTAGTTTTAATGGCTCTTTGATTTTAGCATCACAGGGGAAATTCTGAAAATCAAAACTATTTCTAGATTAGATCTGTTGTTCTTGGCATCCACAGAGCAAGCCAATCCAAAATTACAGTAAAGTCAGCACTGGATCATTCTACCTTTGTATCTAACTCAGCAGTTGAGTCTATGCTTGTTGAAGCTGCTAATGCAATTGTATAAAAAGTTGGACACTTTTAAAACAAGCAAGAGCTGAGTCACCAGAACACACAATTTCACCAGTCGCCAAAAATTTAATTAGTTTTATTCAAATCTGTTCTATTTCTTACTCATATAAGGCACAATGCTTATACCAAAGAGATCAGTCTTGTTGGGGATAAAAAAAAAATATTAACTCTACTTTCCAATACTATGTAGCATATCATTGTTTTAGCTCCAATGTCATTACTATTATATCCCATACCACTGATTTATATTCCAATTGTAAAGAGCAGAAATGTTAAATAAGTAAAATACATACAGTGGCTGTCTGAAATCAGGTAACAAATGCAAATAATTAGCACATTTAGGGATTCCCTTCTCCCTAAAATTTGCAGGTATTAATACTCGATGGGCAATTTCACCATTAAAGCTGAAGGTACCAAGAGTACTCCCATCTGCATATCATAGCTGTAAATTATTTTTTACATTGTGTGTGCATGTGTTTATAAGCACTCATGCATGCACTCACCAGAGTTCCTTGTGTCATACTTGCACACTGACACTCTACTGAAACAAAAATTTGTTTTAAAGACACCTTAATTATACAGTGAGATAAAAAAATTACCATTTACTCAGCCCATATTATTGGATAGAGATTTTTTTCCCTTCATCTGGATGGGTCTGGGGCTGGTAATCCCAGCTACTTGAGAAAATGAGGCAGAAAGATCACAAGTTCAAGGCCAGTCTAGATAATTCAGTGACCTCCTGGGTCAAAATAAACAGTAAAAACAGGATTGGGGATAACTCAATGGTCAATGCTTGCCATACATGTGAGACCCTAGGATCAATACACAGCCACTTAAAAAAAATTACACAGCGCAAGCCCTTGAGGAGAAGAACTGCCAAATCTGTACATCTGATCTTACAGCACTTCCCACACACCGTATGACAGGAACTCAGATTACATGTTACATTCTAGCTCAAAGGTCACCATTTCCCTAGAAAATTATGAATGAAAGGCTGAGGAAACCATAAAAGTTTTCTAATAACCATATCCTGCAATGAATGTTTAATTTGATTGTTTTTTTTCTGTATTTCTCTACTTAATGGACTGTTCAGTGACTCCTGACTCAGACAGGTGAAGAGCAATTTCTTTGGCTCCCTCACTAAGCACTGACCCCTGCATCAGAAAATACCTAAGAATCGGTGAAAATAAAATCTGAACCAAGAACACAAGAACACATAAAGCTTTGAACAAAAATAAAACTATGAAGTTAGGCTTAGCAACTAAGTGCACAGAGCAGAAAGAAGCTAGACTACTAGTTTTATATTAATCTTGGAATTAGGCACAATCAGAAAGGAGCTGATGGTTTGTACAGACCTTTCAGTCCTATAAGGTTCACTACTCATGTTACCTGAGCAACTTATGACAATTATAGAGAACTGGAATCACAGACTTTCCTGTCAAAAGATTATGTCACTAACAACCTAAAACAGTCTCAATTTTGTGCCTTTAAAGAAAACTATAAATATTAGTATAAGGCAAACTACAAACTTTGGCACAGACTTCTTAAGCAGGCGTCCCATTGCTAGGCTGCCATTCATGTATGTCCCCCATGTCTATAGAAAAAAACCCACAGGATGATGCTGTAAAGGGTGGGGGTGGAGTGGGCTCTAGGACAGTGGCAAATCCTCTACCTAACCTGTGTGTACCCTGAATTCAATCCCTTGGGAATGAGAAGATTCAAACAATTTGAAAACAGGTGTGTTCTTGAAGACAGCTTTGAAACAAAATATTCTCCACATAATAAACTGAATACGTTACTTTAGCACTGTAAATTTTATCTATAAAAGTCACTTTCTTTTTACTTTGTATGTTGAACCTGGTGAAGATACGGTACAAACAATACTGTCTTTTCCCAACAAATTATTCTTACCAAAGACTCAGAAAACAAAATTGTTGGTTGAGGCACCTAAGAGTTCTAACATACTAAAACAATGTCACCATGAGGTGGAGTACAGTTTTAAGTCACAGAGTTGGTGACATGTCTGGAAAAACAGAATGGCTACAAGTTGTTCTTCCGGTCCACATTAGGTCTAGGCTGTCCCCTGACTAAAGGACGAACTTATCCCCACTTATCTCCTGTCCTAGCAGCAGAAAGGCACTACAGTCCCTAAAGATGACTTCCTGCCCTAGTTTCTTTGACGACAAACAACCCTCCCCCTTAAAAAATAAAAATATAAAAAAAGCTTTTCTCCTCGTTTAAACTTGGTGGAGGAGGAAGCTAAGGGTGCAGGGACGCCAGGTGGTTGCCCAGCCAACGAACCCACTTCCTCCAGAGGTCCGGAAGTGACACACAGCCCGGAACCTACGCTGAGCCGGGGTCAGCGAACAGTCCCAGAGCAGTGCCCGCGCCTTGATTCACTGGGTAGGAGAGATTTGAAACATCACCACCCCAACACTGACTCCGCCCAAGCATCTAATGCCCCGCCCAGCAGGTGCCCCGCGAGCAGTCACGCAGTCCACTCAGGCCCCTCCGTGCAGTCCGCCGTGGCCGAGGCCCGCGGGAGCGCGCGCCCCGCCCATACGACGTCACACCTGCAGGCCCCGCCCCTAGACCGAGGCCCTCCCCCGCCACACACACCGACACACTCACACATACACACTCACACATAGACATACACACACCCTCTCCGCCCGGCCCTGCGGGGGACCCCTCCCCCTTTAACCATTTGGCAGGAGCCGAGGAAGGGCTGAGGCACCGGACGGCCCGGAACTTTCCCCGGGGCGAGAGGGGAGCACAGACTGTCCCAGTCCCGCGCCACGCCAGGAGCCGGAGGGGAGGGGAGGAGGGGGACCGTCACCCAAGTCCACCTTCGCCGTCCTCTTGCCCCCTCCCCCCGCACGTTCCAATGCATCTGCTCGCAGAGGGAGGGGGCCCGGCGGGCAGGGGCCAGCAGGCCCAGCACCCAGCCCAGCCCGCGCCCCACTGCACACTCGCCAGCCCGGGGCAGGACAAGCGTGCGGCAGCCCAGCCGGCGGGCACCGGAACAAATGCTCGCTTAAAATGGCTGATTCCCGTCCGCGGCAGCTGCAGCCAGCCGCTCAGGCTGCAGCAGCGGAGGCTGACGGGCGGCTCTCGGAAGTCCCGGTCAGCCGCAGTCAGGACAGGGAGGGCCGCGAGGCCGGTCTGCAGTCACCCCCCCAACCCCCCGCTTCCCGGTCCCACACCACCAGATCGCTCGCTGCACTTCCCCGACACTGTCACCCGAGAGAAAGTACCTTGGTATTTGTTGTCCAGCTCCCGCAGCACCGACACGTTCCTCTGCATGTCGTGGGGCAGCGACTCCACGCACTCCAGGTAGTCCTGCACGTAGCAGGTGAGCAGCCGGCTCCGCTCTCCGGTCAGGAGCGCGGCCGACGAGTACAGCTGCTGCTGCTGCCCTAACATCCTGGCGCCGCCGCCGCCGCTGCTGCTGCTGCTGCTCCTCGCCGCCGCCGCCGCCGCCGCCTCCGCATCCAGCAGCCACACATGCAACAGCCAC